TGCTACGATGTCCTAGAACATGTTTCTTCAGAAAGTTCTCAGAAAAGTAAGATCGATATTTTAGCGAGTCAAATCACCTTTTTTTTTCTTGAAATTTGTTGAAGTCCGTTCGTCTTTAAAATGCGTCGAATTGGTGTGAAAAAAACTTTGATTCACTATTTGTTTTATGTTTGAATTTAAATAGTCGATTTTTTTGTTGGGAATCGTTCATATTTTGAAAAATCTGTGCTGCAATTAATTCACCAAATTTAATCTTGAATTCTGAACCTTTGATTGTAGGAACGAAAGAGTTTATTGCCTCTAAAAGAATAACATTGAAAGAGAGTCTAGAACTGCCCCAGGAAAAAATATATATAAAAGCATGAAAAATGAAATATTTGGGCATTTTTGCGTAATTTTATTCGCTCTATTTGCGAGGGTATTTTGCTCATATATGTTTTTAAAATGACTAACTTGACCTGATCAAACTGCACATTTTTCCAACTGATGAGTACCCCGTTCAAAGAGTGTCGATCCGTGGAAGATATGTTTTTTACTCGTGATATTTTTCTGTTTGCGCTGTTTTCAATAGTGTTCATTTTGATGATGTGCTGTTTTCAGTATATAGTACTTTAGTTCGTTTTTGAAGTACCGTTATTTTGTTTACGCGATCTTTTAAAAAAGGAAAAGACGTTTTTGCTGGAATGTTCTGGGGACGGTTTGTTTTTGAGAAAAGTTTTTTTGGGATACTTTTTTTCTGCCGATGAGACAATTCGTCCACAAATTTACAGAATTCCGGTTTTTAAATTTTTTTTTCGAATTTCAAGAATAATTTTAAACTTGTTTCGAAATTTTGTGTTTACTCTCAAAATAATGTTTACGGCTCTTTCGGAACCTACGCGTTTCTCATAGAAGCCAAACTGCTTTTTCTGTGCGTGGTGCGTGAAAAATGGGGCTTTGAAAACCGGCTTTTGTGCTTGAATTAAAAAAAAAAAGTTTAAAAAAAGAATGACCGAATTGTGTTGTATACGTACTGTACTTTACATTTAACATCACGCCTATTAACCGCTCTATGCCTTTCTAAAAAGAAAAAAAGGCCACCCTTGCGCCGTATTTTTCCCTTCTTCTTTTCTTTTACCCATGGACTGTGGGATCGATGCGTGGCAGTGGAATAACTTATTATCAAGAACCCTTTTTGAGGTGTTGCCCTTATGGTGGGTTCATTTGCGATCAGATCTGGGTCGCAGATCAACATTGAAGGGAGAAGTGTTCGCTGTCTTTTAAGTCCTTATTATCATTATCATCATCATCAATGGCGGTCTTTGGGGTCGTTTGATGGAAAAATTCCCTAATTTTGGAAAAAAAAATCATCAGCGATTTTCAACGGAAATAAGGAAAATTTTTTGCATTTTATTGATACATGATTATGCACGAATTTGAATGAAAAAAATATGTGACCCAAAATATCCCAATTTCAGCAAGCATGAAAAATTGATACGGCGTGTTGGTGTGATAGACAAAAAGGGAAATTCAAAGTTGAAGCTTGTGATCCAATTTTCTTGACAAATTCTGGGTGTTATGCTTTTGGAAAGTGCATTACAAATTTTTTTTTGGCGTGTGTTTTTTTTGTGGAATTTTCGCTGTGATTTTGTTAATTGAAATTCTGTCGATTATTTCTGAATTTCCAGAAAGTTTTAAGCTGGTTCTGTTTCCTCCTAAAAATTTAAAATTTTGTTGAATATTTTGAAGGCCAAACAGGTGGTGCTCCGCAATTGGACCCTATTCTGTTGCCATCAGTTAAGGGTCAAATTGCAAGACAATGTCAAATTAAATGTTTGATGCATCAAATTTGACAATTTGAGTCTCTCTGCTGGTCAAAACTGCAGGTCAAGAGGTCAAATTGCAAGTCAGCATCCCAGCAAATTTGACCATTGAATTGCAGGAATCTTGTGTAACTTCTCTCATCTGAGTGTGCTTTGTAATCTTCAAAAGCGTGCAGAAAACAATTCAAATCTCTTGAGACCCAATTCTCTATATTGGTAGAAAAAATTACTCACATGTGTTGGAAAAAACTTTGGCATGCCAACAACTTGGCACCAGATTAAGCTAAAGTGTTCTTCTGCCTTGCAAAAAATCTCAAGAAAAATTAACAGCTTCTGCTGGAGCCTGAGAACTGAACCCGAGTTTGATTCCCAGGCCCAGCAAGGACATCTTCTGAATAGAAACTTAATCCGCGTCCTTCAACTATTCCTTTCCTGATTTCCGAATTTTGGATGATTCTGACACTGGCATTCGAATTGTTGACCCAAGCAGATCTCCGTACAGAAAAGCTATCTTTGTGCAAACTTTGAAATCTTGACCAAGTGTTGATCATCAAAAAAAATACAACTCTTTAACACTAGGACAGTTGTCCTGGCCGCAGCCCGGCTGACCAATCGAGTTTTCATATTCTAATCAACTCTTTTCAACCCAAAAGGTTTCACTTCATATTTTCTTGTTTCAATCGCACTTTCCAATCAAGTTCTCTGTTTTGTGTTTAATCAGCTTTGTGAGTTTCTTTTGTCTATTGACATCGTTTTCTCACAACATGGGAGAGAAATTGTCTGATCAACAATTTAAAGAACAAGATGTTGGTAATTATTCATTAATTTAAATTTTTTCTGTGGACACTTGATCACATTGAATGTTTTACTAATGAGAAACAAGCTGAGTTTGGGTTTGAAGTTCAGTAATACAGTATTCTTATTAATTTGCCCCAGTTTGTTGCTACATTTTGTTGGAACTGTACTGCTTTATGAGACCAACAAAGATGAACTGTATGGGTTTCTTACTGAAAAATATTTCTTGTAATCAAGTAAGACCCCCTTTTTTAAAGTAAATTCTGCGTTACAGTATTTCTTTCATGAATCTGAAAACTTATGAATAACCCCTTTAATACTGCGAATGTAACTTGGGAATGGATTCTCTTGGCTAGGGATTTCTTCGTTGTTCCGTTTTAATTTCCATGTTTAATGAAAATTTATTCCAAGAAACAGCGACTATATAGCGATAATCGCAAACATTTTTTCCAAAGATGGAGAGCGGAAACTCCACAGAAAAAGGCGGGTTTCCGTTACCCGAGACATTTCTATTTTTGGCTGGGCCGCTGAATTCCGGTCCGGAGTCGGGTTCCCACGAAATGTTGACCCTTTTTCGGAGGGTTGCGTGACAGTTGATGGAGGTCCTTGAACGTAGTATAGCCCTTTGTGCGTTTTCGGCTGATTTTTCGCTCTTGTTTGAACGCGGAGATGTTTTAGTTTGGTCGAGTGCCGACGTTTTGATNAATGTTGACCCTTTTTCGGAGGGTTGCGTGACAGTTGATGGAGGTCCTTGAACGTAGTATAGCCCTTTGTGCGTTTTCGGCTGATTTTTCGCTCTTGTTTGAACGCGGAGATGTTTTAGTTTGGTCGAGTGCCGACGTTTTGATTTTTTTTTCGTATATTACTGGGTGGTATTTGTACCCTGAAGTGGTTCATCAAAATGGAAAACTTGATCAGTTTGTGAAATCGTGGGGGGATCAGCATAAGATCCAGTTCGTGATAATTTGCAATTGCCTGCCTCAACTCTTGAAAGGAAGTATCGAAAAAAAAATGAAGTGGTTCATCAAAATGGAAAACTTGATCAGTTTGTGAAATCGTGGGGGGATCAGCATAAGATCCAGTTCGTGATAATTTGCAATTGCCTGCCTCAACTCTTGAAAGGAAGTATCGAAAAAAAAAATCTAGCGAATGTAAGAACAAACAAACAAATGAGCAAATACGAAAATACTCGTGTTCACTCGACTGAAGGACTGGTAATTATCTATTCAAATTTCCGCGGTTGTGCTGCCAATTTACGGAGAAAAATAAATGAAAAGAATATCCCGAATCAATACATAGCTTCATTTCAATTCAATTTTGAATAAAAGAAATTTCTACGGTACACGAGTTAAAATAAAATGTCTGGCGTAGAGCTGAAGTTTATTTTTTCAAAGAAAGTACTGAAAAAGACGCTTGATTATTTTTTTTCGGGTCGATTTCTCGTTTCAAGGAGTTTAAAATTTATTCAAATGTCTATCGGAAATCTACAAAAAACCGGCCCTTTTTCAAATCAATTTCATTTGCATGCCTTCCTTTTCTTCGCTGCGGTCTTGGTTTTAATTCTGCCTTCTTAAAAATTAGGTGCGCTTTCAAATTCTTATTTCTGCATTTATACTCACAAAAATGGCTTGAAAAAAAAGCAGGTTGCTTCCTGAAATTCCCGATAGAGACCGAGATTGCCTTTGACAAGCTTTTATTCTTTCGGATGAGGATTGAGTCAAAAACGTCAATTGAAAAATCTTCATAATTATTTTTAGTTCGATTTTGCGGATAAATTATTAAATTCATGGCTTTTTCTCTGAAGTGTTCTGCATTAAATTATTAACCGACGCATGAGAAGAGTCGCCGGACTCGTCGATTTCTAAAGAAATTGACTGAAATCATTTTTTCATCATTTACTATTTTCAAAAGTTTTGTCAGAAGTAAAATCAAGTCTTGAAGCCGAGTAAATGCGGTATGCATCAAATGCTGTAACTCCTCGAAAAAATGCAAATCTTTTATGCATTTCACAATTCTACGTCAAAGAAAAAAAAAATACTGGATTTGTTGCAATGCAGGTTCAGATCACGATATGAATAAATCCCCGTTTCCTGGGTCAGCGGAAATGTGCTGTGACAGAATGTCTGACGGGTAACAAATTGAAAAAAAATTGATAAAGTGTTTGCAATCTGGAGAATATTTCATCGCATTCTTCTTCTTCTTGCCCTGCGTTGAGTGACTTCAGGAGTTGAATTTTTTCCAAAATTGTCATATGAAAAAACGGACTCGACGATTTGATGCTTTCTGCTAATGAATTCGCCACTTTTCTTGTGTGTGTGTTTGTTGATGAAACAATAATTTGAATCATAAACTGATTCCTTTTTTCTTTCCCCCGCGCGTAATTTTTTTATTTATCCCGTGAAGGAACTTTGTTCTACGAGCACTTTCGTGAAACATGGCTCTCCGGTTGGAACTCGATTTTGACAAAAAGAAAGAATCCACTCCGGTGCTTGACCTGACCCGGTTCCGCATCACGACCCGACAAGAGTTTGACAAAGTGTTTGAAAAGGTTCCGGACTATAAAATCAAGCCGGAAAAGGTCTGTTGTCATTCAGATTCGTTTTTTCCCCGTTGCTGTTTCAGTTGCTTGCAGATTTTCTCCACCTGTGTGAAATTAGATTTTTGGCGCATCATCAGCAGCGCAATATGCTCGTGAGCGATCGCTGATGTGTTGTCCAAAAAATTACATCCATTTAATATTTTACCCCCCACAAAAAAAAAAAAAAAATAGTGAGACCCCGAGATGCGGACGTAATTGGTGCATCAAGAGTGTCCCCAAGTCGAAATGTCCCTAAGTCGAGTCTTGTTTTCCGATTTCTTACATCAATTTTAGGGTTGGAAATATCTGTTTCTGGTAATTTGGCCTGAAATGTGTTTGCAATTTTATCACAAATTGTCCCTGTGTCAAGTCGGTGTCCTCATGTCGTGCCTTATTTATTTATTTTTTTCTGGGAAAATAAGTGTCCCTATGTCGAATTGTCCGCAGGTCGAGGCGTCCGCATGTGGGGGTCTCACTCACATATATTTATTGGCTTGGGATATAAATACTGTGCAAGAGTTGTCCTGATTCCGCGCGGGAATGTCGGTATTTCAATTTTGTCATGTGTTGGAATGTTTGCAAATCTTTGCTATGATGTTTTGAGGTGCAAAAGTGTCAATCTTTCTTAAGCCAATAGAAAAATCGCACAATTTAAAACAATCTAAAAGCTGATTCAGCTGACGAAAGAATAATTTTCAATTCAGTAAAATCAGTCTTGGGAAATTATCGAAAATAAAATTAGGAAAATTGGACAGTGACTATTTCATGACAACCCCATGAAAAGTTTTGCGTTTTTTTTTCAACACGAAAAATAACTGTCTGGAAATTATGATTGTTCAATACTTGAATAAGATTATGTTCCATGAATAACCGAATCTTCAACAAAATTTGAATTTTTCCATGCTTTTGACAAGTTTTCAAAATGCCGTTGAATGAGTGTAGAATTCCGGCCATACCAAGAAAGGTTTCTCTTCTCGACATGCAGTGTACTGAAAATATTTCCTGAGAGTTTGAAAAAATTCCGGAATCCGGAAAACATCTCAGGGAAAATTTTGACATTTTAAAAACATTTATGCTGACATTGAACGTACTGTACATATATAGATTCCTAATGCACGCTGCGCGGAACTGGGACAACCGTTGCATGTTATTGCTTTGATAAGTTTTCATCTTGGATGGCTTTTGAAGTAAGGAGAACGTAAATTTTTGGCGATTTTGCCGAATATCATACTCAAAAATAAATTGAATACCGATTCCGACCTTTCGAATTTTTAAATTTTGCGCTTTAAAATTTTTCAAGCGTTCATAGTTTGACACCGGAACAGATGACTTCGTTTTTCGCAGCGCTGATGAATCAAATTCTCGAAGAATAAACTATTTTTTTGTGCGGCCATGTTTTTGAGTAAGACGAATGCATCAAGTAAGTCGTGGAAAATATACAGTGAATCCTCGCACGGCTGCAATAGGTTCGTTACGATGAGGTGAAGATCCAAGATTCACATTTCACGTTCGTGCCGCCGCGGACGGAGATCTTGGCCGGGAAAGAGGCGGCTGGAGGCGGCTGTGCGACGGGGACGCCGGAATTCCCGTTTGGCAACCCAGTGCCGCCGTCCATGCGAGCCGTGCGGATCGAGGACTTGAGTTCAGTGGATATCAATTGGAGAATGCTCACGTTGGCCAGACCGAAGACGAAGTTGGAAGAAGATATTTTCAGCAGGTGGATACAACCTACGCGCTCGTGTTTTTATTATTACTGTATTTGTATATCCCTAAATTTCTTTGTGAGCCATTCATATTATTTTGGCCATTCAAAAGATAAAAATACACATTTAAGACAATTATTCATGCATGCAACACCTGCCGGAAATTTTGAGACAAGAATCTCACGCAGGTGTCGTACCTCAATCGAAGGGATTTATGCGACACCTACGTAACATTTAGAGAAAAATTATCTCGTCGGAAGCACGTAGGAAATGATTTGTGCGACACCTACCTACTATTTTGAAAAAAAGAACTGCAGTACCCACCTGACATTTCGAAAAAAGGCAGGTGTCGCACATGTGAGCGGAAATTATTTGTACGACACCTACCTGGAATTTTGAAAAAGGATCCGCTGTAGATGTCGCACCTACTCAAGCCACAACATATAAGGATCTGATGTTAACACCTTCCATGAGATGCCTTTCTTGAATGTCTGGTGGGTCTTGCAGAAATCCCAAGTATACTCTAGGAGCCATACCTACTTGAGATATATGTTTTTAACTGTCAGTAGGTTTTGCACAAATGATTTCCCAGCAGGTGCGACACCTGCGGGACATCCTTTTTTCAGAACGGTAGGTAGGTGTCACACGAATAATTTTCCTGAACTTGAGTATTTTCTCTATTAAATAACCAATGATGTTGAACCTGCCTGAGATCTCAAATGTATAGATCTTCACTGCTTTACACCTTCCATATGGAGTGTGGATGTCGCTCTTGAATCACAAACCTCAGGAATAGGATAGCATTTCGTTAGTAAAAATTTATGATGCCGTAGACTTAGTACGAATTTTCGTGAGGATCGCCTCAATCCTCTCTACAGGGATAGATACTTTCCTCAGTATAACCGAGTTTTCTTTGATGACACCTAGGTGTCGCTAGCATAACTTGTATATCTCGTGTTCGAGTTTGTATTCCGCCACAGGATTGGCATGGTATATGATTTCATTGAACATCTGCCTGGGGTTGCAGCACACACGATGGTTATTCGTGATATGCGAAGAAAGGAAATGAAAAAAACATGGATTTTTTTTTNTCGAATAAGATTATGTTCCATGAATAACCGAATCTTCAACAAAATTTGAATTTTTCCATGCTTTTGACAAGTTTTCAAAATGCCGTTGAATGAGTGTAGAATTCCGGCCATACCAAGAAAGGTTTCTCTTCTCGACATGCAGTGTACTGAAAATATTTCCTGAGAGTTTGAAAAAATTCCGGAATCCGGAAAACATCTCAGGGAAAATTTTGACATTTTAAAAACATTTATGCTGACATTGAACGTACTGTACATATATAGATTCCTAATGCACGCTGCGCGGAACTGGGACAACCGTTGCATGTTATTGCTTTGATAAGTTTTCATCTTGGATGGCTTTTGAAGTAAGGAGAACGTAAATTTTTGGCGATTTTGCCGAATATCATACTCAAAAATAAATTGAATACCGATTCCGACCTTTCGAATTTTTAAATTTTGCGCTTTAAAATTTTTCAAGCGTTCATAGTTTGACACCGGAACAGATGACTTCGTTTTTCGCAGCGCTGATGAATCAAATTCTCGAAGAATAAACTATTTTTTTGTGCGGCCATGTTTTTGAGTAAGACGAATGCATCAAGTAAGTCGTGGAAAATATACAGTGAATCCTCGCACGGCTGCAATAGGTTCGTTACGATGAGGTGAAGATCCAAGATTCACATTTCACGTTCGTGCCGCCACGGGCGGAGATCTTGGCCGGGAAAGAGGCGGCTGGAGGCGGCTGTGCGACGGGGACGCCGGAATTCCCGTTTGGCAACCCAGTGCCGCCGTCCATGCGAGCCGTGCGGATCGAGGACTTGAGTTCAGTGGATATCAATTGGAGAATGCTCACGTTGGCCAGACCGAAGACGAAGTTGGAAGAAGATATTTTCAGCAGGTGGATACAACCTACGCGCTCGTGTTTTTATTATTACTGTATTTGTATATCCCTAAATTTCTATGTGAGCCATTAATATTATTTTGGCCATTCAAAAGATAAAAATACACATTTAGGACAATTATTCATGCATGCAACCCCTGCCGGACATTTTGAGGAAGGAATATCACGCAGGTGTCGTACCTCCATCGAAGGGATTCATGCGACACCTACGTGACATTTAGAGAAAAAGGATCTCGTCGCAAGCACGTAGGATTTGATTTGTGCGACACCTACCTAGTATTTTGACGAAAAAAAGAACTGCAGCACCCACCTGGCATTTCGAAGAAAAGGCAGGTGTCGCACACGTGAGGGAAAATTATTTGTGCGACACGTACCAGGAACTTTGAAAAAAAAAGGATCCGCTGTAGATTTCGCACCTACTCGAGCCACCACATGTAAGGATCTGATCTGAACACCTTCCATGAGATCGGTTTTTAAAATGTCTGGTGGGTCTTGCAGAAATCCCAAGTATACTCTAGGAGCCATACCTACTCGAGATATATTTTTTTTAAATGTCCGATAGGTTTTGCGCAAATGATTTCCCAGTAGGTGCGACACCTGCGGGACATCTTTTTTTTCAGAACGGTAGGTTGGTGTCACATGAATCATTTTCCTGAACTTGAGTATTTTCTCTATTAAATAACCAATTATGTTGAACCTGCCTGCGATCTCAAATGTGTAGATCTTCACTGCTTTACACCTTCCATGTGGAGTGTGGATGTCTCTTGAATCACAAAACTCAGGAATAGGATAGCACTTCGTTTGTAAAAATTTATGATGCCGTAGACTCAGTACGAATTTTCGTGAGGATCGCCTCAATCCTCTCTACAGGGATAGATACTTTCCTCAGTATAACCGAGTTTTCTTTGATGACACGTAGGTGTCGCTAGCATAACTTGTATATCTCGTGTTCGAGTTTGTATTCCGCCACAGGATTGGCATGGTATATGATTTCATTGAACATCTGCCTGGGGTTGCAGCACACACGATGGTTATTCGTGATATGCGAAGAAAGGAAATGAAAAAAACATGGATTTTTTTTTCATTTCTTTCATATAGATTCGTAGCCCTAGACAAGATGAAAAGGAAAACCAGACAAGCCGAAGGCGATCAGGTCCCACCCCTTAAGCAGTTGATCCAAGGGAAAACCGGGAAAGGGAAAAACGCCAAGAGTGCAGGCAGGGCTGGTGGGGGTGCTGGAGGAGCAGTGCCCGAAACCCGCTTCCCTTCCTGCAAAGACTGCGGGGAAGAACTTTGCAGCGGGGCTTGCAAGGCGAGTCATTGAGTCTTACCGCAATACAGGTCGTGGACCCTCTCTATACAATGAAATTCAACGGACCAGAAAATTGAATAAAAAAAAAAAGAATCGTCGTAAAAGAGAATTTCGTCGAAGAGAATCCTTTCAAATGGGGGACGGGTGAATCCGCTATACAGAGAAAACCATTGTAGACGAGATCGTTGTACAGAGAGTCCACCTGTACTGTATTTTCTTTTTTCAAACTCGACTTATTTTCTCAAAATATATTTTAAAGAGTGGAACACAAATTAAAAAAAAAATGAGCTCCGTTCAATAGTTTTTTTTTTTTTTTTTAGCTGCGCCTGCATATCGTATTGTGAGGAGTACGGTATAATGAACAAAATGTTGATCGGATACAAGGATTTAAAAGGGAGTCGAAGTTTGGATCTGGTGAAATTTATCTTCAGTTGGAATTTTGCTAACTCGAACCTCCCGAGAATATCAAATTTGTTCCTTATTAGTCCCTGTCTTGATGTCCTCATGCTCATAAAAAACAAAGTGATATTGACACCCCTGACTTTCTTGCCCAAACCTCCGTAACTCAAATTTCTGGAGGCCTTAGGTGTATTATGTTCATTTTTAAAAATGACGAATCGCTTCAAAAATACGTGAGAACATCTTAAAAATTGTTGCTCTGTCCACTTTTTTTTTTTTCAAACAAGCGTAAAGAAAAAACCGCAAAAAAAACGAAAAAAGTGCTGCCATCTTTCAGGATTTCCACTACGAAGCCGCGGAAAGGATGCCTTTCGAAGAAAAGGAGAAAGACGGGGACAAACAGGAGGGTTTGAACTTGTCAGCGTTGCTGGACGGAAGTGGAGCCGGAACCGGAGGCCGGAAGAAGAAGAATGCGCAGGCGACGACGAAAGGCGGACCCCCGAGAATGTCTCATTTGCGGAAAAAGAAGAAGAAGAAGAAAAAACCGGCGACGGAAGACAAGTACGACGACGACGACGTTCAACAAACTGTGATCAGTGGCACTAATGTTTTGGCGACGAAAAATGAAGATGACGACGACGACGATGTTGCGAATGACGGGAAAACCAAAAAGAAGAGACCCATGAAAAAGAAATCCCGAAGTTGAAAATTTGTTTTTTTATTATCCGAGGATTTATATAAAATTCTGAATAAAATATTCGTCGTTTATCATTTGACTTACGAGATTTGACTTGGGTCGGAAGTTCTTCAAGTCCTGTGTGTTATTTCGTTCGAGTCTAAATTGTTGAGAAATAATTGTGATTCAAGTGATTTTGCCGAATATTATCTGATAAATTCATCACCCACTCTTTATTCAATTTGAAAACGATGACGACCAATTCAAAAATTACGGAACACCAGAAAAAAGCGATCTGTGAATAAGAAATGTCGGAGTGAACAATTTTCTTTGTTCTTAAAATTGAAGGCTTCATGATTTTTTTTTAAATATTCTTCAAGAGTTGACTGTCATACATGTGATTTATGATCGATTCCTTGCCATTGTTCAAGTTTCTGCTCACCCCGTTTCAATTGGAGATGAGACTAAAAGCTCATCTTTTGTGAAATGAGGTTCACCTGTCCCGTGTGTTTAAAAAAATCAAATTTCAGAAAGTCTGAACGCCACCAAACATTTCACAATTTTTTATTACTTTTTTACAATTATCTTCAATTGCAAGGCTGAAGAACACGTATTCGAATTTATGAAGGCTTTACTTTCCGAATTTTTTACTTGGAGATGCTGAAAGATAATCTCATATTGACATAAAATATACATTTTTGAGCAAGAATTCACATTTGAGCTTCTAATTTCGAATAACTTTACGAATTGCTTATTTGTCACTGAGCGAAGCTCAGAATAAAACTAGGATTACGCACTTAATTTTAAAGAAATAACGGCATATACGAACTTCTATGAGTTTTCATATTATTATGGGAAGACTTTTGAACCAATTCTTGTTTTTTACCTTGAGGATTTTTTGTTTGTTTGTAAGTGTCACATATTCCTTGGTTTTCAAGATTTTGTGATTTCGGGTCTCGTCATTCAGCGAGGATTTATATTCGGGGCATATCGCATGATTTGTTCACCCATTGTTTTCGTTGACGTGAATACAGTATTTATTTTCCAAATCAAATTTTCCTGGCCTTTTATATTTTGTGATGTTACCCGACGTTATAACTATAACCTACTTCGTCAGGTTATACATACATTACGTTATAAAACACCAAGTCCACTTCTTGTTCTTGTTTCCCTCACTTAGAACGAAACTTCAACACGCTTTAGAAGAGTAGAAGGAAGTAGACCGAACTTGACCAGATTTACTTGAGTTTCACATGCTCGTGTGCAAAATGCGCGTATATCAGTTTCTTCTTTACAGAACATTTTTGGAATAAAATTATCCTGAAGTGAGGAGTGCATCCATGTTTTTTTTTCTCATCACGAAAAGCTGCAATACTCGAAAAAATTTATAGATAAAAATGCGTCTTGAAAAATAATCAGAGATGAATTCCATTTATTTTGGCGCGTATTCTTTGAACTATATGAAGTATGGCTGGCATAATAAATCAAACGGTAATTAAAAAAAGTGAAGAGTACTGATTTACGTGTGCGTGTCTTAATTAGGATTCACGTGGTCACGTCTGAACAATTTTTCTGAATTTTTGGAAAGAAGGTGAGCGGGTTAATTGCATGAATGTGGTTTGCAA